TTCCAAGCGCCGTCTGCAAAACGTCCACTGGCAGCGAGAAGCATATCCTCGCCCAGCCGTACTCCCCTTCCACACCTTTGTACAGTCTGCCTTCTCCGACCCTTACCCCCGCCTTGGCCAGCTTGTCGTAGAACTTCTCCTCGTCCGCTGCGCTCTTTGCACATTTGGCTAGCTTTGCGAATACAAACACGCCATGCGAAGGCGTGATGAATTCAATGTTCCACTTGGCAAGCGAATTGGTTAGAAGCTGGCACGAAGTCGTGAGGCGGTCAGAATTGAGTTTGAGTAGTGTTGGCAGTTGTGACCATGTCAGCAATGTGGTAACATAGGTTGAAACCATCACGCTGACATGGTACTTTGTCAGTAGAGACATGAGCGTAAGGAGACTGGGGTTTTGCTGAGATATAATGCAACCCTGTCGGACTTCAGGTACTCGTTTCGTCAAGTGTAGGGACGTGACTTACAACGCGGAACCCGCTCATGCCGAACAACTTGCTTGCGCTCCATACGACATGCACACGGCTTGGGTCAACTTTGACTGCACCTTCTGGGACAAGTGGCTCAGTAAGTGATAATGCAGAGACGAAGGGTGATGCCTTTGCTGGTGCCGTGTTGAGGTCGGTCAAGGCGTATATCTCATCAACAATAAGGTGTAGTCCATGCTCCTGACAGAACTCCATGACCTCAAGCAGGGATTTTTTCGAGTAACATCTCGACAGAGGGTTGTGAGGGTTGCACAGCAACACGGCCTTGATGCGAGATCGGTCTGCCGAGAAATCGTACACTGCTTGCAATGAAGCAGCAAGATAATTGTCCCAATTATCATAGGCTGGAGGTTGGGCAATGACTATGTTGACATTTGATCGGCTCTTGAGCATAGGCATAAACCCATCTGTGGATCACATGTAAGTTTTCCGAAGCGATCGTTGGTCGTTGTGTCGTTTGACTTACGCCACGAAGGTCCAGGTACGAGCACGCTGTCGCCATCATCGCAAACGGCGTGGATTACATTCTCAATCGCATCGGTTGCGCCAGCAGTTATGGCAATATGCGCAGATTTGACAGGATGAATTGGATGGAAATGGTTGTTGAAGAATGAGGCAAGTGCTTCCCGGAGTTGTGCATCTCCACCGTTAGATGCAGGCAAAGCGAATACCTGCAGCACTCGATCAGCACAACTTACTTGCAACAAGGAAAAATTCGTTAGTATACCTTACTCGTAATTTTGTCTTCTACAGTGCTCTGGAGAAGTCTTACAAGCTCCGGTCGAAGCACCTCGTTCTGTGCGCTAGAGAGATCGACAGCCGTTGTTGCATCGTACTGCCTAGGTGGGGCGCCTGCTGCGATGGCGGGAAGGAGATCCTCCAAGGTCTTTTCTGCACGCAATGATAGTCCAGCTTCCATACTCGATAGGATATGCGTCCGTTTTGCATTAGGTGGAGCAGGCAAGCAAGTCTGCAGTGGATAGCGCAGCAATATCCAATACCTAGGTAGGCTCAGACCACCGTTGCGCCAAGTGTGACTTGGTTGCAGCGTGGCTCGTTGGCGCGTCCGCTCTGTTGGTATTTCTTGAAGCTGACTGGCAGCTGCATGTTCCCTCGCGCAAACACAGGGAACGGCATGGATATGGTAGTTATTTCCAGCTTAGTACCCTAAGTCTATCGTAAAAGCAGACAAGCGCCAGGGGATATCTTGTGAAAACTGCGCAAGCACACAGCCAGACCCTCGCGTACCGATGCACGAGTGTATGCTATGCACAACGTGCTTACCCGCACATGTACCTGTTCATCATAATCACATACTAAATGACCGGTTACGCCGAACGCCACTTAAATGCCTACAATTGGGACGCCCGCAGGCCGCCCAGCACGCTATGCGGAAACGATGCCAAATTCCAGCACCATGTAGAGGCTTCTAAGCAGAGGCGCATACAAAAGGGGATGATGCGAAAGTCTTGCGTTTCTAACGCTTCGTGGGGGGATGTGCATATCGACAGGCTATTGCTGTGGAGTTCTTCCGATGCCTTGCTTCGCCTAGGTGGCTGTCAGTGGTGTCCTTGAGCGTATCAACTTATTAGTTCTCACCTTCATCATCTCGATTCTCTGCTTCAAGTTCTGCGTCACCTCCGCAGCGCGCTTCCAACTCTCTGCGCCAGATGCTGCCTGTGAGCTTCCGGCTCGACCGATTCCGTTCTCCGCAGGGCTCATGCGACCACCTCCTCTCGATGATATCGATGATTTCCCTGATGCATCTGCTCGTCGTGGACTCAGCTTTCCACTCAAATTGCTGCTAGGTCGAGACAAAGCATCGAAGTTTTCCTTACCATCACCGCCTGGACTTCCAGGCCCACTGGCAAAGCTCCTCTCCCGCCGACCATACAGGCCATGGTTTCCGTATCCAGAGTCTCCCAGTCGTGCGCCATTCGTGTTGTCCGTGTAGATCTGTTCTCCAATCTCTGTGGGTGGTGGTGACGTAGCACGAACTTGGCGACTGAGCTCCCTTTTGAGGCGGTCCACTTCTCGGCGCTGGTTCTGCACAGTCTGCTCCGCAGCTTCGTAATCTGAGCGGGCACGCACGAGTTGAGTTTCCTTCGCCTTGATTGAGAGTACGTCGCGAGTGTGGTCCTCGATGAGTTGAGCGTTCTGGTTTTGGAGTTCATGGATCTGAGATGTCAGCTTCGTTCGTTCGCTATTGATAGATCCTCGTTTTGTCTTCGAACTCGATCAACTCAGCGAA